GTTGTGAATGAGTCATTCCTCGTCTGCATTGAATTTTTGCACTATTCGTCATTGCGGTTGTCGTATTCGGTTGCGTTTTAACAGAATTCTGCAGAATCGTTTAGCTGTTTTAGGTGCCACAAACTAATCTGTATTGTTAGAGATGGCGCATTGGTTTCATCGCAATCCCATGAAACCAACAGAACCTGTGAAATTTGATCTGAAAAGAATGCTCACTTCTGATTCTTCTACTAAGATTTGTAGGTCAGTCCATTCTCTGCTGCATTTTTCCTTCTCTTTTTTTCACTAATATTTCCTTTTTAGCGAGCTTCGGTTACGTCGAGAGAAGCTTCTCGAGTTATTTAGAAACGCTGGCAATGATTTAAAGGAGGTAGATGAGAAATTTAATGAATATCTCCGTCTTTTTGCTGGATTTCTTGTTGACATTGGCGTACTTGCGGTTGGTAAGTTCCTGTCTATACCAATTATTTTTGTCTAAGAAACTTTGCTCTGCATTTTTGTTCAGTTGTTTTTGTAATTTCACAAATCATCAGTTCCTAATGAAGATTTGCTCTCTAGGAGGTGATCCTGCAAGAGCAAATAGCAAGCTGGTTCCAGTTGTTCGTTATCATTGGGGACATTCCATGTTGGGAACAGCATCAACGTTAGTTTCATTCTCACTAAGCTCCCAATTTTTCTTCCGTAATCCAAGCTTGTTATCTTTGTTCTGATTTAGAACATCAAATTGAATTAGGTTTCAGGGAGCAGTCGGATGCATGGTTTGAAGCATTAAATTTGATTGAATGCATGGCAATATGGTTGACAAAACATGCTGCCTGGGTCGCAGGCAAGGATGATGTGAGCGATTTTGCTATGAAAGTTGCGAATTTAATGTTTGTGTATGATAAGGAAATGAGCTATATCACCATTGTCTGTTGGAAACTTCGGTAAAAAAAACTAAGGATTCTTATGCGTTACTATGCTAATTTACCTTATGAAAATGCTCAACAGTGGAATAGTATGAATCTTATTCGATATTTG